TCTCGGACCTGGCAATAGAAATAAGGTAACTGAGTCTGTGTGTTTTATTTCGGTCTCTGCTAGCTAACTTTTATGCCAAGAACCTCATTAATGAAACCATTGCGCTGGCCGCATGGTGGAATTGGCGCCCAACGTGAAAGATAAGAAAAACATTATCTTTCGAATTGGATTTTATATAATTTTATATAATTAAAGAGAACTATGAATTACGGTAAAAAAAAGGTAAAGTTGATGAATATAGGAAGGCAAAAATGTATAATGGTATTATTTGGAAATCAAAGGAGGACAGGACAAGGAAAATTCAAGGGGTACATTTAAAAACTGTTTTAGGATCAAGTTACTCATTAGCAAGTCTATAAAAATTCAAATTAAATGATTCTTCAGATAAGAACTTGAAGACCCATGTTTATCTTATCTATTTATGTAAATGTAATAAAAACTGGTATTTCTTCATTAAAAATCCATAGAAGTTTTTGTCAAGGGACTGTTAAGGTAAAATAGATTTCAGAAGGGTCATCTTTCCCAGATAAATTTTTTTCTTTTTGGTACATTGTGGAGGATAAATTTATAGAAGAAAAAAAATAAAATTGCAATATATTTATATGAAGTAATATTTGATCTTACATGCATTAAAACTGCAACCTACTATTTTGAATAAATTAGCAACATTTTTAAAATGAGCATGTTTAATGATAGTAAGGATGTGACTAATGTACTTTGATATGCTTCTTGATAGGAGTGCCATTTGGTCCAACCAAAGCATCTTGGGAGAATTTATCTTGGACCTTAGAAAGGATTCATCTCTACCACCAGACACTTTTATTTTTAGATATTTGTTTACATTAAAGATATAGTCAATAATATTGAAAAAGCTTTGGATATAAACATTTTTTACTATCATTTTTAATACATTTGGAAATAAAGGTACAACTTAAATATTTATATAACCTCTGACTTAATTCAGTGACTTTAATATCTGGAGAGAAGGCAAAAGAAGCCCAATTCAGTCACGTAATAATTGGTAACTATAGACATACAGTTTGGACAACTGTAATATTCTGGAGGCATTAAGATTTTGAAAGAACTAAATATATTAAAAAGAACTAATAGTTAATACTCCAGAGTCATCAAAAATACCTATGAAGTATGTTTTTTTTTTTTTTGATACCTAGGGGCAATTTACCACTGAGCTACTTCCCCAGCTTTTTTAATTTTAAGACAAGGTCTTGCTAAATTGCTTAGAGCCTTGTTAAATTGCTGAGGCTGGCCTCAAACTTGCAATCTTCGTGCCTCAGCCTCCCAGGTCGTTGGGATTATAGGCATGTGTGCACCATGCCTAATTCCTATGAAGAATTTTCAAAAAATTTGAGGTTATTTTGTAAAGTAAGAAGATTAATTTTGACATGGCTAATATGACCTCAGTTATGTTAAATTTATTTGTCTTATACATGCAAAAGAACGGGGGTAGAAGAAAATTTACCAAACTGTTGATTATGATTGTCTCTGTATGGTAGAATCGGGGACTATGTTTCAACTTTCGCTTAAGCTATTGTGTATTTAAAAAATTTCCACAATGACCATGTGTTTTTACTTTTTAAAAAAGCAAAAGCAATTTTTTTATAAAGTTTCTTTTTTTTTAATTTTATTTTTAAGAGAGAGAGAATTTTAATATTTATTTAGTTTTTTTTATTTTTTAATTTTTTTTAGTTTTTGGCAGATACAACATCTTTCTTTGTATGTGGTGCTGAGGATCGAACCTGGGACGCATGCATGCCAGGCGAGCGTGCTACCGCTTGAGCCATATCCCCAGCCCCAAAAGCAATTTTTAAAAAATAAAACACATGGGCTGGGTTTGTGGCTCAGCGGTAGAGCACTCACCTAGCATGTGCAAGGCCCTGGGTTTGATCCTTAGAATCACGTAAAAATAAATAAATAAAATAAAGGTATTGTGTCCAACTATAACTAAAAATAAAAAAAGAAAAAACACAGGGAAACATAACTTGAAGTTGAAGGCATGTTTGCTTCAATTTAGTTTTGTCTTAACAAATAACTAGTAGGTTTGAAGTTACTATTAATTGTCTTTACATTCTTTATAAATAATCCTGGGGCAAAAATAGTATGTGAAAAAAAGGTTGTTTTTGCTAGTATCTCTGAACTGTATTTGTGTTAATTAAATAATCTAGAGCTAACTAAAAAAAATTTTCCCCCACAGAAACAGCATTTAAATTTAAAGCCCTAAAGAAGGTTGCACAGTTAGCAGTTATAAATAGTCTGGAAAAGGTAAGAAAACGTTTTGGTATTAAAATTTTGGTTTGGGTTACAAATGTTGCTGCCTTTAGTATTTTGAATAAAAAAATCATGACTCGAGTGATAGTTTCACATTAATTTTTAGAAAGAATGCATTATAATATTTTTATGAAGAAATTAGAAGTTTGTGGCATTTACTTTATGAAGAAAAGTTCACTGCTTCATATAAACATGTTTTGTTTTTTTGTAGGCCTTTTGGAACTGGGTAGAAAATTATCCAGATGAGTTTACAAAACTTTACCAGATTCCACAGACTGATATGGCTGGTAAGGTTAACATCAATTTTGTTTTCTTTTAAATTCTTTCTTAGGAGATGAAAACCTGTTGCTTTTTAAGTTACTTTTTAAAAAAGGAGCTTTTATATCTTCTACTATCAACTGATATCAAATAGGAAATACTGTTTTTCTCTAATATTTCTAAATTACCTCTAATCCTTTTCCTTTGAGCAAATAAAAAAATTTGAAATGAAGCTTTAATCTTTAAAGTTAATTGGATAATTGATGGCTACTGTTGATGGCTGTTAGAGAGAAGCACCTTTTTTGTGTGTTGTAAAGCCATATTTTGTTTTTACAGATGTGTATATAAAGTAATTATACTGTTTTTACCTGTGAGGTAGGAATTCATTGGATACAGCTGCATGGCAGAGAATATAGACTCCTGGGAAATTTTGGTAATTCTCTTTGGGAAGGTGTCCAATTTTTGTAGGTTGGGTACATTGCAGTTTGCATAAGGCCCTGTACATTGAGACAAAACACAAGATCAGTCATTGTGAAATGTCAGTTTTTTTCTTGGATGGATCAAGATAGCTCTTCTAACACATGGGAAATTTAACAGTTCTTATTGGCTTATGTGAATGAATTTGTGTAATGGCTTAAATTAATTTCCAAGTTTATCTCTTTAAATGTGGCCTTTGGGTTTTTGGATAGTGCTAACTTTTAATGCCAGCAATTGTTTTTCTCACATAATAATGTCATTTAATATTTTTCATGTAGAGTGTGCAGAAAAACTCTTTGACTTGGTGGATGGTTTTGCTGAAAGCACCAAACGTAAAGCAGCAGTTTGGCCACTACAGATCATTCTTCTTATTTTATGTCCAGAAATAATCCAGGATATATCTAAGGATGTGGTTGATGAAAACAACATGAATAAGGTTTGGAGGTCATTTCCATTATGTCCATATGTGAAACAGTTTATTTTACTCAAGGAGTGTATCATTTTTATTTTATCATTATTTATATTTTGGTGGTATTGGGGATCTAACCTAGGGCCTCAGGCATGCCAGTCAAGTGATCTACCGATAAGTTATGCCCCCCAACCCTAGGTTTATCATTCTTTATAATCATTTTAGGTCTCTGTTTGTGACCTTAGTGGAAATATTCTCATACATAATTTTATTTGGAAGAGAAATAAATAATATCATTCAATGATCAAAGACTAAAAACAATCCGTTGGTCTTTTTTTACCAGAGAAGACTAAAGAATAGTTCTGTTACTTTTAAACATGGTTTCTCTAATATTCCCTTCAGGATTTGCCCTACTGGACTTCTCCCCTCCCTCCCTCCCTCCCTCTCTCTCAATATTTTTTTAGTTGTTGATGGACCTTTATTTTATTTATTTGTTTGTTTGTTTATTTATTTATTTATATGTGGTGCTGAGAATTGAAACCAGTGCCTCAGACATGCCAGGCAAGTGCTCTACCACTGAGCCACAGTCTCAGCCCTGTTTTTTTTTTTTTTTTAAACCAGGGATTGAACCCAGGGTACCATCACTCACTGTGCCACATCCCCAGCCCTTTTTACATGTTTTAAAAATTTGAGACAGGGCCTTGCTAAATTCCTGAGGCTGGCTTTGAACTTGCAATCCTCTTGCCTTAGTCTCTTGAGCTACTGTGATTACAGGCATGCAGCACCAGATAGACTTCGTAATTTTTATAGTATGTTGTTTGCATGTTGTATAGTATGTTGTTTGCATGTTTTTAGGAGTTTGTTCACTTGGTGCTATTGAAATGATCAGGAAACTCAGAACAGTTTTCACAGAGTTTTATTAGGAAGGCAGACTACACATACTGTTTGTATTGAAATTAGCATTATAACAGCTGGTAATTTGAAAAGAATCTTATATTATATATATATATATATATATATTTTTTTTAAAGATTTGAGTTGTTAGCATTTTATTTGAAGTTCAAAATGCACTAGTTTTGTAATAGACACTTTTTCCTTTATTGCCATGCCACTTTGGGAGAAATATTCTTAGCTGACTAAATGTGAATGTGCTCTTACATAATTTGGCTATGGATGAAGATGTTCAGAATCAGCTGAATGATTCACTACTTTGCAGAAAAATTGGATAGGGAATTTATTAATTGAGGGGTAAATAAATGAAGTAGGAAATCCTTGAGAGCCTATGAATTTGTGATATTTCTCTTATGTCAATGTCCCAACTTTTGAGGATACCATTTTTCATATTAGATTGTTGGGAGCCTTTCAAAGTAGTGGTTTTATTTTTGTTTGTTTCTATTTATTGGTAAAGTAGAAATAGTTAAAACTACTGTAAGTTCAGTAGTACTCTTAAATGAATTTAAATTTTAGTAATCACAGTTCCAGTTATATCTTTCTATCAGTCTTTCGTATACCTTCTGTGAATTGCTCATTTTTCCATTTAATTTTTGTCTTTTATTGATTTATTGGGTGTGTATACATGTACTTGAGTTCTCTTTATAAACTAATTCATAGACTAAAACTGCAATTTCTGTGTTCAGAGCATTTGTATTTAAAATTTTGAATAGTTCTTACTACTTTTCTATTTCTAAATAGTTGGCAGCAGTTTATTTTTTCACCACACTGAATAAGAAGACCTATTTTTATTACCCCTGCCTAGGCACAGGGGCTGCTGGGGTCCCAACAAACTTTAATTTGGTCCCCTACCCATAGCAGAAATAAGAGTAAATGATATAAAAATGAAAAATGAATTAATGACAGTGGCTAAAACTGGGAAGGTTTAATCTGCCTTTCCCATTCTATAGAAACATTACAGTTTTCTGGTGGGGGGAGTGGGGTACTGGAGATTTAATCCAGTGTTTGGTCTACCACAGAACTACATCCCGAGGCTTTTTTTCTTTTTTCTTTTTTTTTCCAGACAGGGTCTCACTTAGTTACCTAGGCTAGATTTCAACTTGTGATTCTCCTGCCTCAGCCTTCCAAGTCACTTGATTATAGGCGTGTGTGTACTACCACATACAGCAAAACAGAATGGAAACAAAAAGCCAGAAAATACACTTACATATATTTAGGCAGGTTGTGCTTGCTGGCGAGATGTCTTAGTATTCTGGATCTAAGAGTTTTGTTGGCATCAGGGTTTTGGGGGCATTTTCAGCTTACATTCTCATCATGAAATAATGGCTTATAAGAAGCTGGAATGTGAATAGTTTAACAAACAGGTTAGCAGAAAATGGAGAAAAGAAAAACATTTTGGGACTTCTAATTATAAATTGGGTTCATTTATGTTTTCCTGAATCCTTATCAGAACTCCCTATTTTTCAGTCTTCTACATTTTTGACACATGAATAAAACGATACAGTATCTTGATCTCAAGTGTTCTCACTCTCTCTCCTGCTCCTCATAGGGTAAATTATGTGAAATGATGGGTATGTTAATTACCTTGTGATAATCACTTTATTATGTGTATCTAAATATGTTAATACTCATTAAATATATTAAATAATGTATTAAATATATTAAATACTCATTAAATATTTTATTTGCCAATTATATCTCAGGTAAAACTGGAAAAAAAGTCATTCCAAATGAAAGTAAACAATAGATTATTAGCAATGAAATGATATAAATGTGTAAGAATAGAATAATAGCAATGTAATAATGTTAGGAACAGCTGTGCCTATATGTGTGTATATATATTTTAGCATTTATTTCTGTGAATGTAATTCCACATATATAAGTGTCAAAAGCAAGTTACATTCATGGAGGAAATGAAGGTTATATATATCTGTAACATAAAAATAAAGAATTATAAAGACATACCCTTTTTCATTCAAAGATTTATACTCTAGCGCTTATCATACCTTTTCCATAATACCCTAAATTTGAAAGCAACCCAAATGCTCATTAGCTGGTGAATGGATAAACCAACTGTGATAAATTGAGATGATGGAATATTTTTTCAATAATTAAAAGTAAATACTGTGCACTGCCAGGCGTGATGGTGCAAGCTTATAATCCTAGTGTCTTGGAGGCTGAGATAGGAGGATTGTAAATTCAAGGCCAGCCTCAGCAACTTAGCAAGACCTGTCTTGAAATAAAAAAATAAAAAGGACTGGGGTTGTAGCTCAGTGGTAAAGCACCCCTGGTTTCAATTCCCGGTTAACAACAACAACAACAACAATAAAAACCCAGAAAGAAAGAAAAGGAAAATAACTGCTGCCTGGTCAGTGACACATGTCTATAATCCCAGTTACTTGGAAGGCCAAGGCAGGAGGATTCCAAGTTCAAAGCCAGCCTGGGCAAGTCAGTGAGATCGTGTCTCAAAATAAAAAGAAATAAAAGAGGCTGATAATGCAGCTCAGTGGAAGAGCACCCCTGTACCCACTTGTGGGGGAATGGGAAAGGAGAGTAACTACTGTTCACAGAACATGGATGAATCTCAAAAACATGCTAAACAAAGGAAGTCAGACAAAATGACATACTGTGTGATTTCTTTTGTTTTTGATTCCCTTTTTTCTTTCTTGTTGTTGTTGTTGTTATTATTATTATTTTATTATTATTGGTACTGGGGAATGAACCCAGGGGTCCTTTGCTGCTGAGCTACACCCCCAGCCTTTTAAATTTTATTTCTTAATTTTGAGACAGGGTTGCTTATTAGGACCTTGATAAATTGCTTAGGTTGGCCTTGAACCTGCAGTCCTTGTTTTAGTTAGCTTTTCCACTGCTGTGACTAAAGGATCTGACCAGAACAACTGTAGAGGAAGAAGAGTTTATTTGAGGGCTCATGGTTTCAGAGGTCTTAGTCCATAGAAGGCCAGCACCATTTCTAGGGGCTCAAATTGAGGCTGAACATCATTACGGGAGGGTGTGGTTGAGTGAAGCAGCTCACATCATGTGATCAGGAAGGAGAGAGAGAGAGAGACACACACATACACATACATACACACACACACACTCCACTCTCCAGGTAAAAAAATGTATACCCAAAGCCATGCCCCAATTCTTACCTCTTCCAGCCACACCCTACCATTTCCATTACCACTCAGTTAATCCCTATCAGAGGATTAAATCACGGATTGTGTTAAGACTCACAACCCAATCATTTCTTCTCGGAATCTTCTTGCATCATCTTACATGTGAGCTTTTGTGGGGCACCTCACATTCAAACCATACAGTCCTCTCTTGCCTTCTGAGTTGCTGGGGTTAATAAGCATGTGCCACTGTGCCAGGCTTTCTCTTTTTCCTCCTCCCTCTCCCTCCCGCTCCTCCTCTTCCTCTTTCTCTCCCTCCCCCTCCTCCTCTTCCTCCTCCTCTATCTCTCCCTCTTCCTCTTCCTCCTCTCCCTCCCCCTCCTCCTCTTCCTCCTTCTCTCTCCCTCTTCCTCTCCCCCCTCCCCCACCCCACACCTTTCTTATGATTTCTTTTAAAAGAATGTGTAGAAGACATCTGAGGTCAAAAAATGAATCAGTGGATGCCAAAGGTGGGAGGGGAGGAAATTGACTGGAAAGGAACTCAAGGGGACTTCTTAAGGTGGTGAAAATGTTAAAGATCATGATTGTGGTTCTGATTCCATAACTTCTTTCTCAAAATTCATCGAATTGTATATTTAAAATTGCTGATGCTTATCATGATGTTTTCAAAATCACTTCACCTGGCTCAACATTTTATTTTTCCAAATTTATTTGCCAGTATACTTGTGGGTTGCTTTTTCACTTTTGGCTATTGTGAATAATGCTATTATGCACATGAGTGTAAAATTGAGACCTTTTACTTGGTATATATCAGAGGTGGAATTTCTGAATCATATGGTAATTCTATTTTTAATTTTTTGAAGAATTTCTATTTTAAAGTCACTTTTTTTCTTTCTTTTGTTTTTGGTACCAGGGATTGAACTCCACGGGGCACTTGAGCACTGAGCCACATCCCCAGCA